TGATGGCTGTGACGAAAGTAACCTCATCACTGGCTTTTGGAGGGGCCTGTTTGCCAGCCTCCTACCCTGTGATGAACTGAACCTCGTCATGGGTTCTTGGAAGTGCCTGCTGGCCAGTCTCTTGCCTCAGGACTATGGGCCCTGCAATATACCTTGCCCAATGCACTTTAAAAGGCTCTGTTCATGTGAAGTATGTACTTTTGTACATCAGACAAAGAAACCGACAATTAGCCCTAATTCTCTGGAACTGTTTTGGGCATGGGACCAAGTGCACGGTGGGTAAAAAAATAAGACTTCCAGGAAATCCTGAACCCCTGAACTGATCTTGGTGATTTTTTGATATGTTGGTCACCCAGATCAGGGCTATCAGGGGATGTAACATTTTAGGGTTTTTATTTATTTTTAGGGTACTTTTGGGCTGTTTTATTACCCACTGGAAGCTGGATCCTGGTCTTGGGTGGGTGGCCCCCAACCAAGCTGTGGCGGTTCGTGGGGTTTACGGTGGTTATGGTGTCCGGTGCAGTGCTTATGGTACTCAAGGATTACTAGGAAGCAGCGATTGATGGAGGTACCCGGTCGGGGGTGCCAGGCGGTCCATCACAATGGCTCTCTCTATATGTGAGCACCCAGTGGTTTTGTTTTCCAATCCTAACTCTACCTTAAGCCTGCAGTATGATCTAAGTCTTCCTATCAATACTCCTGTGTCAATGTGCAATGCTTACTCTTGTTATTATGACTTACAATCAAATGTTTTCCCATATTAATTTTCTGTTCCCACCGACGCCAGTGCATTTTTTATTGACTAGCATCAACAGGCATAGCTTTCATCTTGTTATATTTTTCTTATTTAAAAAGTGCAACATTCTGAACATATCATATTGTATATTTGCATCTTCTCGTATATTCTATAACCCTTTGGATATGTCATTATAACTTTGACTGTTTCTCGCTACACAACTAAATAAAAAGTAAAAAAATAAATTAAATGAGAGAAGGCATCCACATAAAACTGTTGGAAGGGTCTTAGTATGCCTTTAGATACAATATATACCAGCAAACCCATTATAATACAGGGAGTGCAGAATTATTAGGCAAATGAGTATTTTGACCACATCATCCTCTTTATGCATGTTGTCTTACTCCAAGCTGTATAGGCTCGAAAGCCTACTACCAATTAAGCATATTAGGTGATGTGCATCTCTGTAATGAGAAGGGGTGTGGTCTAATGACATCAACACCCTATATCAGGTGTGCATAATTATTAGGCAACTTCCTTTCCTTTGGCAAAATGGGTCAAAAGAAGGACTTGACAGGCTCAGAAAAGTCAAAAATAGTGAGATATCTTGCAGAGGGATGCAGCACTCTTAAAATTGCAAAGCTTCTGAAGCGTGATCATCGAACAATCAAGCGTTTCATTCAAAATAGTCAACAGGGTCGCAAGAAGCGTGTGGAAAAACCAAGGCGCAAAATAACTGCCCATGAACTGAGAAAAGTCAAGCGTGCAGCTGCCACGATGCCACTTGCCACCAGTTTGGCCATATTTCAGAGCTGCAACATCACTGGAGTGCCCAAAAGCACAAGGTGTGCAATACTCAGAGACATGGCCAAGGTAAGAAAGGCTGAAAGACGACCACCACTGAACAAGACACACAAGCTGAAACGTCAAGACTGGGCCAAGAAATATCTCAAGACTGATTTTTCTAAGGTTTTATGGACTGATGAAATGAGAGTGAGTCTTGATGGGCCAGATGGATGGGCCCGTGTGTCAGGGTACCTGTTGGTGATGTATCCAGGGAGGACATCCTCTCTGCTTAGGGGCTCCCTTCCCCTAGCATTTCGGCATATTCCGGCCGTTTTCGCACCGGCCGCGCTAGCTCCTCCCCCTTTTATGACGCGACGGCTAGCGTCGACGTCATGACGTCGGCATTTGCATAAAGTGCCGGGAACCGCTATTCCGGACCTTTTTGGGGGCGTGGTCTCTATTTAGGTAACAGGGTATTTAAAGGAAACCTTTACTACTGCTCATTGCCCTGTCGTGGTTCTAGCTTGCTAGTCACTCAGCGCGTTCTTTATCTTGTGTTTTCGGTTTTGACCCTTGCTTGTCTTTTGTCCTGTTGTCCTCTCCTCTCCTTTGACTCGGCTTGTATCTCGCTTACCTGTCCTCCGGCTCCCTTGACCTCGGCTTACCTTTTGACTATTCTTGCTTTGTCCTTACGTTAGTCCGGCCATTCTAAGGTCCGGTATACGTACCTCCTTCTGTGCGCACTCTGCGTATTGGATCCCTGTCAGTTTCCTGACATTACGACAGGGCCAGATGGATCCTGCAGGTGCTAGTCCTCCTGACCCCAGATTTGAGGCCATGGACCATAGAATGGACCAAATGGCTTTAGCGTTACAAACTTTGTTGACACGCTCCAGTACCCAGTCTGAAGAAATACGTTCCACTGCTAGCCACTCGCTAAGTACTGGTTTGGAAGTAGCCACTGTAGGCGCATCTTCCCATGTCACGTCACCATTACGATATGGGGGTTCGCCTGATGCTTGTCGTGGTTTTTTAAACCAGATAAGTATACATTTCGAACTACAACCCCGGGCTTACCCCACTGACAGGGCTAAGGTAGGCTTTATTATAACCCTGCTAATAGATAAAGCACTTAGATGGGCCAATCCCCTTTGGGAGAATGACAATCCTTTAGTCTACAACTACACTGCGTTTGTCACGGCTTTTAGAAGAACCTTTGACCCCCAGGGAGGAAGATTAATGCGGCCAGATCCCTGTTACGCCTTAAACAACAAGATAGGACCCTTGTAGAATATGCTCTAGAGTTTAGATCATTGGCAGCAGAAGTGAAATGGAACGAACAAGCTTTTATGGATGTTTTCTTGAATGGTTTGTCTGATGAAATTCTAGATGAAATTGCCACAAGAGAACTTCCGGAAAATTTAGAGGATTTAGTATCCTTCATTTCCAGAATAGATGAACGCATGAGACAGAGGCAGAACACTCGGGAAAGAGTTACTAGACTTCCTGTAAGACTCGCTCCCTCATTTCAGAACCCTGACTCCTATAATCCTACTCCACCAGAACCTATGCAAATAGGTAATACTCGCTTATCTGAGGCTGAGAGACAGTACAGAAGAAGGGAGGGTCTCTGTTTATACTGCGGGCTGAGAGGTCACCTACGTCTTAGTTGCCCTAATCGTCCGGGAAACGCTCGCACCTAAGTTCCCTTAGAGGACGGGCCTTGGGTGTTTCATTACTGTCCTCTATGCATAATAAAAGAGACCATAGGCTTCTGATTCCTGTCTCTCTAGCTTGGGAAAAGGGGTTTATTACAACGATGGCATTATTAGATTCTGGAGCAGCAGAAAGCTTTATAGACCAAACTTTCGCTAATAAGCACTGTATCCCATTCCAATTGAGAGATACACCCTTGGCCGTTGAGGCCATAGATGGTAGACCTTTATCTGAACCAGTAATATTCCATGAGACCGAACCCGTTAAGCTTACTGTTGGTATTTTCCACGAAGAGTTGATTTCCCTTCTGTTAATTTCCTCCCCGGCAGTCCCAGTGGTTCTAGGATATTCTTGGCTCAAGAGACACAACCCTCAGATTGACTGGGAGGGTGGAGAAATCGTTTCTTGGGGTATGGGTTGTAGGAAAGAATGTCTGCAGAGAGTTACTTCTGTTTGCCCCGTGAACTCTTATGCTAACACTTCTCAATCCACAGACGTTCAGATACCATTACAATATCTAGACCTCAAATCTGTATTTGACAAGGGTAAGGCGGATACTTTACCTCCCCACCGGTCTTATGACTGTTCTATTAAACTTTTCCCTGGTACTATGCCTCCCAGGGGTACGGTATACCCTCTATCCACCAAGGAAAACTTAGTTTTAGAGGAATATATCAAGGAGAATTTAGACAAAGGATTTATTAGAAAGTCTTCTTCTCCGGCGGGGGCGGGTTTCTTTTTTGTAGAAAAGAAAGACGGTACCTTACGTCCTTGTATAGACTATCGGGGATTGAACAAAATTACTATCAGAAATGCTTACCCTATTCCTTTAATTACTGAACTCTTTGACAGACTAAAGGGCTCGAGTATTTTTACTAAACTTGACTTAAGAGGAGCATATAACTTAGTGCGAATTAAACAAGGAGATGAATGGATGACAGCATTTAATACCCGTTACGGGCATTATAAGTATACCGTAATGCCGTTTGGGCTTTGTAACGCCCCGGCCGTCTTCCAAGACTTGATCAATGAAGTTCTTAGAGAATTCCAACATGAATGTGTAATTGTATATTTGGATGATATACTAATCCATTCTAGAGACATTAATTCACATCATAGACAAGTCAGAAAGGTATTACAGAAACTTTTACAACATGGATTGTATTGTAAATTGGAAAAATGTAGCTTTGACCAGTCTCAGGTAACTTTCTTAGGTTACGTAATTTCCAAAGGCGGGTTTATGATGGACCCGACCAAACTAAAATCGATTTTAGATTGGCCTTTACCTAAGGGACTCAAAGCCATACAAAGATTTCTTGGATTTTCTAATTATTACAGACGTTTTATTAAAGGGTACTCCTCTGTTATCGCTCCTATCACTAATATGACCAAACAGGGAGCCGATACCAAAACCTGGTCTACTGAGGCTTTATCTGCTTTCGAAACGCTCAAACAGTCTTTTGCCTCAACACCTGTATTAGTTCATCCTGATACCTCTCTACCCTTTTTACTTGAAGTTGATGCGTCTGAAACAGGGATAGGTGCAGTGTTGTCCCAAAGACAAAGTTTAGATAAGCCGCTGCACCCTTGCGGTTTTTTTTCCAAGAAACTGTCACACACTGAAAGGAGATATGACATTGGTGATAGAGAACTTTTAGCTATCATTATGGCATTAAAGGAATGGAGACATTTGTTAGAGGGCACCGTTCTCCCAGTTACTATCTTGACTGACCACAAAAACTTATCGTATATGGGGGAGGCCAAAAGATTATCTGCCAGGCAGGCACGTTGGTCTATGTTCCTTACACACTTTAATTATGTGCTTACTTACAGGCCTGGTTCTAAGAACACTAAGGCAGACGCTTTGTCACGTCAGCACGAACCTACTACCTCTACAGAGGATACTTTGTTCCCTATTATTCCTGAAGTCAATATTATCGCCAACACCAATGTCAAAATACACTCTCCATTGCTCTTAGATATAATGAACGAACAATCTCTTGCTCCCGAGCGTACTCCTGTGGGCCGCTTGTTCGTGTCTCCCAAATTCCAAGTGGACATTATTCGCTGTTTTCACGATAGCAAGATCGCTGGTCACCCCGGCATCCACAAAACTTACTGCCTGATCTCCAAAGACTTCTGGTGGCCCGGTTTACGTAGGGATGTGGAAGACTTTGTCAAGGCTTGTAATGTTTGTGTCAGGAATAAACTTCCGCGGGATCTCCCTTGTGGTTTATTGCAGCCCTTAGTCGTTCCCAACAAACCTTGGGCTTGTTTGGCTATGGATTTTATTGTTGATCTACCAGCTTCAAATAGGCATACAGTTATCCTCACGGTCCTTGACAGGTTTACTAAAATGGCTCATTTCGTTCCCTTGCCTAAACTTCTGTCCTCCCCCGAACTGGCCGTGATATTTGCTAGAGAAATTTTCCGTTTACATGGTATTCCCAATGAGATTGTGTCAGACAGGGGTTCCCAATTTATTTCCCGTTTTTGGAGATCCTTCTGTTCACAGTTGGGCATCAAACTGAATTTTTCTTCGGCCTATCATCCTCAATCTAACGGAGCAGCCGAACGCACTAACCAAAAATTGAGCAATATCTACGTTGTTTTGTTTCTGAACACCAGGATGACTGGGTCGGTCTGATTCCTTGGGCGGAGTTTGCTCACAACAACCTTGTTTGTGGTTCCACTCATAATAGCCCCTTTTTCTTGAACTATGGCTTTAACCCTACTATTCTTCCGTCGGTGTCTCCTTCCCAGGGTATACCGTCGGTTGATATTCATATAGCCAACCTGAGAAAGTTGTGGGATCAGACTCGACAAATTCTTGAGCGTAGTTCCGCGGTGTTTAAGTCACATGCTGATAGGCGTAGACGTCCTGCTCCTATTTTTTCTCCGGGGGATAGGGTCTGGTTGTGTACCAGACACATTCGCCTGATAGTTCCTTCCTTGAAGTTTGCTCCTCGTTACATTGGTCCTTACAGGGTACTGAGGAGGATCAACCCGGTTTCTTATTTGCTGGATCTACCTCCTACTCTACGCATCCCTAACTCTTTTCATGTGTCGTTACTGAAACCTCTTGTTTGTAACAGATTTTCCTCCCGCTCTGCTCCTCCATCCTCGGTCCGTGTGGATGGTCAGGAGGAATATATCATCAAGTCCATCCTTGATTCTCGTATTTCTAGGGGGAAGCTGCAATACCTCATAGACTGGAAAGGTTATGGTCCAGAAGAGAGGTCTTGGGTTCCTAGTATAGACGTGCATGCTCCTCGTCTTCTTCGGGCCTTCCACGTTCGTTTTCCTTCTAAGACCGGTCCCATCCGCCCGGTGGGCGTTTCTAGAAGGGGGGGTACTGTCAGGGTACCTGTTGGTGCTGAATCCAGGGAAGACATCCTCTCCGTTTAGGGGCTTCCTGCCCCTAGCATTTCAGCATATTCCGGCCGTTTTCGCGCCGGCCGCGCTAGCTCCTCCCCCTTTTATGACGCGACGGCTAGCATTTACATAAAGTGCCGGGAACCGCTATTCCGGACCTTTTGGGGGCGTGGTCTCTATTTAGGTAACAGGGTATTTAAAGGAAACCTTTACTACTGCTCATTGCCCTGTCGTGGTTCTAGCTTGCTAGTCACTCAGCGCGTTCTTTATCTAGTGTTTTCTGGTTTTGACCCTTGCTTGTCTTTCGTCCTGTTGTCCTCTCCTCTCCTTTGACTCGGCTTGTAATCTCGCTTACCTGTCCTCCGGCTCCCTTGACCTCGGCTTACCTTTTGACTATTCTTGCTTTGTCCTTACGTTAGTCCGGCCATTCTAAGGTCCGGTATACGTACCTCCTTCTGTGCGCACTCTGCGTATTGGATCCCTGTCAGTTTCCTGACACCGTGGCTGGATTGGTAAAGGGCAGAGAGCTCCAGTCCAACTCAGACGCCAGCAAGGTGGAGGTGGAGTACTGGTTTGGGCTGGTATCATCAAAGATGAGCTTGTGGGGCCTTTTCGGGTTGAGGATGGAGTCAAGCTCAACTCCCAGTCCTACTGCCAGTTCCTGGAAGACACCTTCTTCAAGCAGTGGTACAGGAAGAAGTCTGCATCCTTCAAGAAAAACAAGATTTTCATGCAGGACAATGCTCCATCACACGCGTCCAAGTACTCCACAGCGTGGCTGGCAAGAAAGGGTATAAAAGAAGAAAATCTAATGACATGGCCTCCTTGTTCACCTGATCTGAACCCCATTGAGAACCTGTGGTCCATCATCAAATGTGAGATTTACAAGGAGGGAAAACAGTACACCTCTCTGAACAGTGTCTGGGAGGCTGTGGTTGCTGCTGCATGCAATGTTGATGGTGAACAGATCAAAACACTGACAGAATCCATGGATGGCAGGCTTTTGAGTGTCCTTGCAAAGAAAGGTGGCTATATTGGTCACTGATTTGTTTTTGTTTTGTTTTTGAATGTCAGAAATGTATATTTGTGAATGTTGAGATGTTATATTGGTTTCACTGGTAATAATAAATAATTGAAATGGGTATATATTTGTTTTTTGTTAAGTTGCCTAATAATTATGCACAGTAATAGTCACCTGCACACACAGATATCCCCCTAACATAGCTATAACTAAAAACAAACTAAAAACTACTTCCAAAAATATTCAGCTTTGATATTAATGAGTTTTTTGGGTTCATTGAGAACATGGTTGTTGTTCAATAATAAAATTAATCTTCAAAAATACAACTTGCCTAATAATTCTGCACTCCCTGTAGGTTCAAATAATTGTTTTTCCAGGATTCTGGAAAATAATTATAGGTGAGGGGTGACAAAGATTGAGTTGTAGAGATGGCTGAATATATTAGTGTTTGTCAACAAGTACACACTGAATTTTATTTTTAAATTATAGCTTGACTTTTGTTAGATTCAGGAGTCATAGATTGCAAACTTTGTCAACATGGTTTCTTATCTAAATAATAAATAGCGAATTTTCTCATTGATTAAATTTCTAAAAAGTTTGTGTATCTCCCAGTAAGACTTTGCTATCATTGACATTAAGGTCAACGGGCAACCCACCTATATAAAGAAACTGAAACACTTGCTGTTAGAGTCAGATGATGGAAAAATAGTTTCACACATCCTATATATATGTAGGGGATTTTACATACCACAAATCTATCTGACAAGTGAAGGCATTTCCTGCTGTTGAACTTTTTAATGTTTTTGCTTTCATATTTTCAGCTGATTTCCTCAGATAAAATATAATTAATTGCAAAAATAGATATTGCTATACTTAAGTTTCAATTTCTGTTCCTCTTTTGAATATTAGTATATGCTCCAGCGATATAGAATGCATATTTAAAAATACATATTGCTTTGGTCCACTCTTGTTCATTATTTACAAAAAAAGATAATCTTTTACCAACGTATCTTGAAATCTACCGATATATTTAAATAGAGTGACAGAAAAAAACAAATAATATTAAATTAAGATTATTGGTCTGTTGAGATGTTGTTATGCTAAATGATGTAGCATATTGTGCACCTTTATCCAGATGTCTTCTTTACAAGCAGGCCGGGACTGGCCATTGGCCAGACTGGTCAAATGTCCGGTGGGCCACAATGGCCATGTACCGAGTCTGACAGGGCACATCAGAGGATTTTTCCTCCTGGCCCATGCAGAGCACGCACTATCCAAGTGCAGAGCACGCACTATCCAAGTGCCAGCCCTGTTGTGTGCCATGACAGGTCGGTGGGGAGACCAAAGATCTCGCTCACTGACCCAAAGGCACTTATATTCAACAGACTAAGAGAGAGAGGACTCAGGAGCTCTAACATGCAGTTCTGCTGGATCCTGTATGTTCTTCGAGTGAGGTCAGAGCATTGTGACAGTTACCATGACACCACCACAACAGTGTCGGATCTTATTAGAGTAAACCCCAGTCAGTCCCAGGAGCCACAGGCTAGAGTTCACACTCACCTTCGGACCACAAGGGTTTGGCTTGTAATGTCCTCCCTCCCAGGCCAAAGGTAAGAAAGGAAAGGAGATATACAGTTTATTTATTCATTTTTATTAAAAAATTAATTGCTTTGGTTCCATCTGCTCCCCATACACAATACCTCCAAACATACTCACACACTGTACCCCTCACACACACTGCTCCCCTCTTACACATACAGACACACTGCACCTCTCTCACACACTGTACCCCTCACGCACTGCACCCCTCACTCACACACTGCACACCTCACACACACACTGCACCCCTCAAACAAACATTGTAATACTCAAACACACATTGAGCCACTCACACAAACTGAACTCCTCACACACACATTGAACCCTTTACACAGACACTACACCCCTCATACACACTGTACCACTCACACACATTGTAGCCCTCACACATTGCACCATTCACACAAACTGCACTCCTCACACACACTGTACACATCACACAAACATGGAACCCCTTACACACACTGCATCCCTCACACACATTATACCCCTCACACACACCACACCCCACTCCTCACACACTGCACCCCTAACAAACACAACACCCCTCACACACATATTGCATCTCTTACACACTGCACCCCTCACACACATACCTTGCAAACTTCACACACAGTGCATCATTCACACACACTGCACCCTCACACACATTGAATCCCTAACACACACACACACATTGCATCCCTCACACACACATTGAATCAGTCATACACACACTGCACCCCTACATAATTAGATGCCCTCCACACAATAGATTCCCTATAGACACACAATGCACCACCTACACATACACACTACATTCCTGACATACACACTCTGTGTCCCTATGCACACACTAGATCTCCTGTTTGCAAACACACATTACATTCCATAAACACACACACTCTATACAGCCCCTACACACACTACATCAGTTATACACACATGTTACATCCCCTCTAAACACTATGCCTCCTAAACACACACACTCTCTCACTCTCTACAAGCCATAGCTACACATTTTACACCACAAACACAACATG